TGTATACCTGTATGTAAAACCTTTGTAAAGACACATTAGTAATGATGTAAAGATGGGCAGATTATTGTTATAGTTGGGTAAATGTCGATTATTTATAGGTAGTTCATGTTGAATTATTTCGGGGTGTTACAGCAAGGTTACATTGGCTTACTTGAATCCACATTCTACAATTGAAATAATATTAACAAAAAGTTTTTTTTTTTTTTTTGATGGGGGAAATATTAACATAAAGTTGATATAGCAATGTTACATCAGCTTTACTTGAATCCACATTCTATAATTGAAATAAGAGTATTACTATTCAGGTCCAAAAATTAGACATGCTTTGTAGGCTTGGTGATGTGTCAAGAAGATGATTGTTTGAATTAAATATTCTCTAATTATCAACCAATTATTTTCTTGACATTTCACTAGATTTATAAAACGAGTCTAAAAAATAAACTTTTATATCATTTTTCTTGAAATAAATATTAACACTAAACGCTTACCTAATATTTAATTAACAAGTTTAAGTAAAAATGACTTGGTAAAGCCTTATCAACTTGTAGAGCTCACCCTTTACAATTAAGGGGGAGAAAAAATGTGTGTACAAATTGAATAAACTCTAGAACTAATAATAAAAAATAAAAATAAAAAAACAAGAAATATATAAATGTTTTGTTTAGAGCTTAAATTCAAATGTAAGTTTTTTTTTTTTTTTTTTTTTTTTCCCCGATGGGAAATTCAAACATAAGTTAAAAGGTTAAAATATTGTCCAAATATTCAAATAATTATTAAAATACTCAAACTCATTTAATATACTTTAAGACCAAAAACAATTTAATAGGTTATATATATCAAGTTAAGTAGGCAATTTAAAGTAACTAGATTAGGTCCAATATCAAATTAATGAGAATTTGCTTAATATTCATGGAATAAGTTTAGATGGTGTTCTAAAAAAAATAGTTATTGATCTAAATTATCAAATTTATCAAATTTTAGGTTAGATTTTTAGGAAACAAAGTGCTAGGTGACAAAGTATTGAATAATTTATTTAAATTTAAATCAGGTTTAAAATTACTTACTATTTAATGTGAGCGCAATTTTTTTTTTTTTTTTTTTTTCAACAAAAGAAAAACTCTTTATTGATGATAACATAACAAAAACAACATGGTATACATCAACAAGGAGGGGAGGCACGAGCAAAAAGCATCAAAGCAAACCACCCTAATCCCAACTAGGTTGGCACTAAGGAGAATGCACAATCATCTGCTAGCTCGAGCCCGAAGGTTGAAGAGAATCCAACCAAAAAGGGAAACAAAAACAAAAACACACAGCAGCCTAAATCCTACTCCTCTAACCCCCAACCTCACAGCAGCTGGCAGAAGAGGATGGGGAGACCACCCTTCCTGTCTATAGCAAAACAGTAGCAAACCCGAGCCAGACCAACCACAGCAAACTAGTGCACAGTCATCTGCTAACCACTACTACAACACCACTGGCTGAGATTGATCAGCAAACCAATTCAGACCACCAAATATGTGTTAGCCATCAACAGCCTAAGACTCCAGGACTACACCATCAATCAGCAACAGCAGCAGGATACCCCTATCAGTATTGCACTTGAAGCATATCAGACACAAGGATAATAACAGAGGAGCCCCAGCCTTGATCCACAACTTTGATCTGGAGGTGGAGAAAAGAGATCTTTATTAATGAACATCTGATTTGTCAAAGCACATATCAGCCAACCACATCAGAGCAGAGAATGAAACCATATCAGCAGAGAATGGACTTCAGTAGCAAACCCATCACCACCAAGATTACACTAGTCAGATGACAATTATTCCCTAAGGCCAATAGCCAGCCCAGTACACCAGACGGCTAGAGTCTAACATGCTGATTTACACAGAATCATTTGGCAATCAATCAGTGAAACCTCCTCTGCTTTACCCACCCAAAGCTGCAGAAAGTCACAAAGATCCCATTTCTATATTGCCTTCCATCTCTATAAACCACCAGTGCAATCTACTGCAGAAACTCCTAAGCCAAGCATCTTCTAATCTGTTGCAAATTATGCATTAGGTCATTGACAGTGAAGTTCAAAGCTGGGACAGAGGACTTAATCCACAAAGCAATTCGAACCTCAATATATTCACACAAAGCTAGAAAATTAGGCTCCACCCCATTGAACACAGAGTCATTCCTCTGTTTCCATATGGACCAGGAAATAGCATATGGTATTACAATCCACAGCTTCTTTTCAAGTTTCCTCATTCTACAACCAGACCACCACTGAATAACACTCTGAACAGAACCTGGTGAAGCCCATTGCCACCCCCACCTTCTGACAAAATAAGACCAGATCAGCCACACACGAGGGTAGTGAAGTAACACATGGTTAATAGTTTCCTCCTCTTCTTTGCAAAAAACACAACAAACATCAACATTGGCATTTAGGATACCAATCCTGCGCAAATAACTAGTAGACTTGATTCTACCCTTCCACACCAACCAACCAAAGAATTGTGCTCTTGGTGGAGCAGGAGCCTTCCACAAAACTCTAGAGATCAAACTATTAGACCCAAAGCCCAATTCAAACCACTGATAAACAGATAAGACACTAAAGCAACCAGATGTATTTGCATTCCAAGTCAAACAATCAACCACATTAGCTCTGAGCAAAGGGGGACTACTCAGATGTACTAGTAATCTACTCAATTCTGCTTCCTCCCATGCGAAAAGAGGCCTCCTAAAATTAAACACCCAATTACCATATACATCTCTATTGCTGTGAAACATGAATACAGACTCTTCTTTATCAACTAATAGAGAATATAGTCTAGGAAACTCATCTCTAAGACATACACCCTCTGTCCAACAATCAGACCAAAATCTAATTCTTCTACCATCCCCAATCTTGACCACAGCATTACTCCTAAAAAATCGCATAAGATCTGCCCTAGAAGCCACAGTGTAAATAATGTCAGCCCAGGTTTTAGACAACCTGATAGTCCTCTCAGTAGAGGGATACCATGCCCAACCTGTCTCCCTGTACTTTCCACATATAACATCCTTCCAAAGAGAGTTCTCTTCAGCACCAAACCTCCACCACCACTTCAGTAAAAGGCATACATTCATGATTCTAATTCTCTTAACACCCAACCCTCCTAAGTTTTTACTTTTAGAAACATCCTCCCATTTCACCAAGTGCACTTTCCTCCTCAAATCTGAGCCACCCTAAAGAAAAGCAGATTGAATACTTTCCATCTTTTTTGCTACCATCTCAGGCATCTTAAATATTGATAGATAAAAAATAGGTAAGCTGGCAAGAACAAACTTAATCAAGGTCAGCCGACCGGCAAGGGATAGATATCTTCTCTTCCAAGAAGCAAGTATTTGCTTACACTTATCAATCACTGGCAGCCAAGTTCTGCTACTTCTTGGGCTGGCCCCCAATGGCAATCCCAAGTATTTGATGGGCAATTTTTGAAATTTACAATTCAACCTACTTGCAAAATCCTGACCCAACTCCTCTGGAATCCCCACCCCACAGACCACACTTTTGTTAAAATTAATTCTAAGTCCTGACAAAACTTCAAAGCACCTGAGGATTCGTTTTATATTTACTATTTCCCCCCAATCAGCTTCACAGAACAAAATGGTATCATCCGCAAATTGTAGATGCGTAATCCGCAGACTACTAGGCCCAATAGATGCCCCTGTAATCAGTCCCAAATCTTTTGCTCTACCCATTAAGATATTAAGTGCCTCAGCCACAATAATGAACAGAAAAGGTGACAGTGGGTCTCCCTGACGAAGTCCCTCGACCTACAAAGGATAGATATCTTCTCTTCCAAGAAGCAAGTCTTTGCTTACACTTATCAATCACTGGCAGCCAAGTTCTGCTACTTCTTGGGCTGGCCCCTAATGGCAACCCCAAGTATTTCATGGGCAATTTTTGAAATTTACAATTCAACCTACTTGCAAAATCCTGACCCAGCTCATCTGGAATCCCCACCCCACAGACCACACTTTTGTTAAAATTAATTCTAAGTCCTGACAAAACTTCAAAGCACCTGAGGATTCATTTTATATTAACTATTTCCCCCCAATCAGCTTCACAGAACAAAATGGTATCATCCGCAAATTGTAGATGCGTAATCCGCAGACTACTAGGCCCAACAGATGCCCCTGTAATCAGTCCCAAATTTTTTGCTCTACCCATTAAGATATTAAGTGCTTCAGCCACAATAATGAGCAGAAAATGTGACAGTGGGTCTCCCTGACGAAGTCCCTTCTGTGGACTAAATTCAGTAGTTGGAGACCCATTAACCAACACTAAAGTTCTTACAGAAGCAACACATTCGTTCATCCAACTCACCCACTTAGTACCAAAACCAAATTTAAATAACATAGAGAACAAAAATTCCCAATTGACAGAATCATAAGCTTTATGAAAATCCAGTTTAAGCACAACTCCACATCCTCTAGCCTTCTTCCACCCATCTACTATCTCATTAGCAATAAGTATGCCATCTAAAATGTTTCTGCCCCTCAAAAAAGCCGATTGAGTTTCACTTATGATCCTAGGCAGCACCTGTTTCAACCTATTTGATAGTACCTTGGCCAATATCTTGTACATGGAGCCCACTAAGCTGATGGGCCTATATTCATTTAGGCTAGCTGGGTTCTCATTTTTTGGGATTAAAGCTATGAAGGAACTGTTTAACCCTCTAACCAACTTGGCATTTTGATGAAAGTCCCTCATAAATAACAAGACATCCTCCTTCACTATATGCCAGCATTTCTGAAAAAAGCCCATATTAAATCCATCAGGCCCGGGGGCCTTGTTTCCCCCACAAGATTTAATAGCACTTAAGATTCCCTCCTCTGAAAATTCCGCTTCCAAAAATCCTGAATCATGGCCTTCCCCAATTGACTTAAAGGGGCCATTTAAGGTGGGCCTAACCCTCCAAGACTCCTCAAACATATTACTAAAGTGTTTGAACACTTCAGCTTTAAACCAACCAACCAAAGAATTGTGCTCTTGGTGGAGCTGGAGCTTTCCACAAAACTGTATAGATCAAACTATTAGCCCCAAATCCCAATTCAAACCACTGATAAACAGATGAGACACTAGGCCCGAGGGCCTTGTTTCCCCCACAAGATTTAATAGTACTTAAGATTTCCTCCTCTGAAAATTCCGCTTCCAAAAATCCTGAATCATGGCCTTCCCCAATTGACTTAAAGGGGCCATTTAAGGTGGGCCTAACCCTCCAAGACTCCTCAAACATATTGCTAAAGTGTTTGAACACCTCAGCTTTAATGGCTAGAGGCTCTTCTACAGTAATTCCACTCACCAAAATGGAGCATATGGCATTCCTATTACTTCTACATCTAGCCATAGCATGGAAAAAAGGAGTATTTCGATCACCCAATAATGCCCATTTAAGTCTAGATTTTTGAAACCACATCCTCTCCAGCATTTTACTTAGCTGCCAAGCATCACCTTTCAGTTCTCTCTTCCTCGCTACTTCATCTGCAGATAAGACCCTTGCTTCGACAACTAGATCAAGGGCATGAACTTCCTCATCTGTAGCTTTGAGCTTGCATTTCCACATTTCCAAACACCTCCTTATTCCACCCCTTCAAAACTGATTTTAACCCTTTGAATTTGACTAAACATCTGAATCCAGCCCAACCCAACACATTTAGAGTAGCCCAAGTTTGTTCCACAAATGGCAAGAAATTTGGATGCAATGACCAAGAATTTATGAACCTGAATGGTCTAGGACCCCAATCCCTCTCATCCTCCATCAGAATAATAGGGCAATGGTCAGAGACCAGTCTAGGTAAACCCCAAAGCTTAAAATTGAAAGTCTGCAACCATTCTGGATTTAATAGAAATCTGTCAAGCCTGCTCCATCTATCACCCTCTTGTGAATGACACCAAGTAAACTTCCTTCCACACATAGGTAGATCAAAGACCTCTAGTTGCTCTATCAATTCATTGAACTCCCTCATACCCTTATCCCTCCTAGAGCAACCTTTTCTTTCAGAAATGCTTTTAATTTCATTAAAATCACCCCCCAAGCACCATGGTTCCAAGAATTGTGATTTAAGATTCACAAGAATATCCCACACCCTTTTTCTTCCTACAGGATCATTTGGCCCATAAACATTAACAATTACACAATTAAAAGAAAAAAATATTGAACCTGCTAAGAGGATAAAATTGCGATTGCAACAACAGTTCTTGAGCTGAAAAACTACAGGATTCCAGATACAGAGAAGCCCACCAGCAGACCCTACTGAATCAACTGACATAAACTCCATTTTTTCCCCAGCCCAAATAGTTTGCACCAGCTCTGAATTAACTACCTCTTTTTTGGTCTCTTGCAAGAGAGCTATGTCTATTTTCCTCTCCTTAAGCACCTGCTTGATTTTCCTACACTTACCAGTCCTACCTAACCCCCTAACATTCCATGATAAAAGCTTCATTTAACAAAATAGCACACGTGAGCCTTCTAGAAGAAGTCAATTAACTGACTACTCCCTTTCCCTTCTGGTGCACCTTGTCCATATCCATGGACTCTAATTCCATAAGCTTGATCATGACCTCCTCCTCTTTGCCTTCACAGTTGAGCCCAAGTACTCGCCCCCATCTGTAAGGTTGCTTCAGCCTCATTGAGTAGCAATCTACCACGACTGGATTCACTTGCCATAGACAGCGAAATAGCAGCCACTGCAAACCTAAGAATTGCTCCTTTCTTGACTTGTACTGATGGACCAATTCGGTTATGAAGCTCGAGACCCCCTTTCTTATTCCAAACTCTCCTTCTCATACATTTACTCTTCTGTTTCCTGTGGGTTTTTCTAACCTGATGTGAAGGTCCTGAACACACCCCGGCCTTACCCAAACCCACTCCACTGGCTGAATCAATTTGTAGTTGGTGCTGGACCGAAACCCCACAAATAGGCTGAAAATAATTATCAACATTAGTTGGACTTTGTAAACATCTAGTGACACCAAGGCTTTGGGCCTAATTAGAATTATTCCCCCCATGTTGGGCTTGGGCTTTGCCCAACACTACCTCAAGATTTAAACCAGCACCTTGACAAACAGAACCACTCAAACTTCGAATAAAACCTGGCGTGCATACTACATCATTGACCTTTGCATGATCACCACTCACACCTTGCATAGAGCCCACCAAATTGACTTCGGGGCTGACATTACGTACTCCACATGCCACCTCCAACCTACTGATTGTCTCTTCCACCACAGAAACACTCTGCCTACTATTTACCTTTCCATCATCCTCTGACACAGTACGCTCCCCTGCTGCCGCAGCCACTCTATGATCACCAACCCCTTTCTTGGCAGCCTTATCGACCCCCTGCACCACCGGAAAGTTGCCCAGATCTGAATCGGAAGCCTCATCAGCGGCCTCATTGTTTGAACTCTGGCTGGCTCTATCCCTTTGGAAAGACCGACAGCTGCAATGTTGCATTACTACCTTAGAAATAACAATCTGCTCCTCACAGATCTTGACTGGGTAGAAGACACCTTTGCCATCTAAGATAATGGACGCGTTAATAGATTCCATACAGGATGTAGCTATCCTTACCTTACCACATTGCAAGGTTTTTAACTGCAAAGTGTTATCATCTAACTCAATAAATTGTCCCCACTGCCTCCCTATACTGTTGAAAGTATTAAAGCTCCACAAGTTAGGAGGCACTCCATAACAGCTTAGCCACACAATACGTTCTTGATCCAAGGTCATACCTTGTTTCTAGACTTTTACTAAGTCACTCTAATCCTTAATCCAACCTTCCATTTTCAACATTTCCTGTTGCATCATCTTTACTGAGTTAAAGGAGAGTATCACATCTCTACCCCCACCTATTGAGCGCAATTTGACTAGACGGATTTTACAGAAAAAATAAAAAATGACTAGACGGATACTTACCCCTATCTCTATCACATACAAATTCTAGCCCTGTCTCTATCAGATACAAATTCCACGTACATTCATATAAATAACAAAGGTATTTCTAGCAATGATAATCACACTTTTTTTTACTTTTACTTTTGAATGCAGTATAGTATGGAACAGGGATCCTTGCTGTGCTCAAAGCACAATAGTGATTATCGTGTTTTCATTTGAGGTGTATTATGATCTTATTTTTATGATTTAAATCGTTCATTTTATAAGATTTGTTGAGTACTTTATACCTACCAAAAATCATATTAATCGGATATCAACAACTATATGATCGAATTGCATATTATTTATGCTATTTCTTAAAAAAAAAAATTATTATTTATTTTTTTGGTTATCGATCATATAGTTGTTGATATCCGATTAATATGATTTTTGGTAGGCATGAAATACTCAACAAACCCTACAAAACCAACGGTTTGGATCATAAAAATAAGATCATAATACACCTCAAACGGAGGCACCACAGTCACTGCTGTGGTTTGAGCACAGCAGTGACCCTTTTCCAATATAGTATTACTGGTTGTAGGTTTCAGATCCTCTATCCCAACTTCGGAAAAAATTTCATTGTTACTCTTATATTTTGTCTCATTTTTTAATTATACCCTTAAACTTTGAATAATTTTAGTTTCACTTTTAAAAAGTTTTTTAAATCGTATTAACTTTACCCTGCCGTCAAATCTAAAACAGAAAAAGTTAAAAAAAATTTACATTTTGACCCAAATTTCAATCATAAATTTGTTTTTTTTTTTTCTTCGTTCCATTTTTGGGACCATAGAATTGCTGCCCAATTATTGTGTAGAAATAATACAGTTTCAAGGCTCTTTTTTTTCTTTTGCGCAATTAATTTATCTTTTCTCTAGATTAATACTAAAATATTAAAAAATATAATACAAATATAGAAATATCATCTACCAGGCTCAGAGAGTCTATCACTCAAATCAAAAAGTGAATTAGGCCTCGATACACGCAAATCAAGATGATCAAATTTACTAAAAAATTTACCATCTGCGGTTCTAATTGAAGCGAAAAGACTTCTTAGTGACCTTTGTTATAATAATCATTTAAGATATGCAAGGCCTTTAGTACAGTAATTAAAAGTTCAAATTGCCCCGTCCATGCAGTTCACACAACAAAAAAGAGAGATTAATAAGAAGAGAGTTGCTTCTTTTTTATTTTTTCAAATTTATCATAGGCAATTACGGTTTCTACCAAGACCTCCATAGTAAAAATAGTTGCCCCAATTATCATCTTTTCCATTTTCAATATCATTGCAAATGGATTCCTCAACTAAAGTGCTAACATCTTTTGGAGCCGTTAAGTTGTTTGACCCATCTTTAATTTGGATGTTGTTAAAGTAACTAGCCTTGCCATACGCTTCTTCAAAGAAATGGCCATTTGAGTGGTGGTATGTTTCCCATTAGATGGTGAGTTCATCGCCTGTCCTGGACATTCAATTGTTGATGCACTGTCAGAAAGGTGTGAAAATAAGGTGACTGGCCAGTAACCTACTAAATTATCATTCCCGTATTGCATCCACCAGTCACCGCATTTTTGGTCCTACCAAATTACAACACCCATTAACAAAATCAAAATGATGTTCAAGATTGAAAAAGTGGATCTCGATAGAATAGATGAAAAAGTGAATAAGTTATTTGGTGCTTTTTCCTTTTTTTTTTTAATCAGCAAAATGAAACTTTATTGATGAAGAAAGAAATACATGTAAAAACTTATATCAACAAAGAGGGAAGTGCAAAAGCATCAACGCTAACCTTAACAATCCTAACTAGGTTGGCACCTTTAAAGAAGTACAATCATTTGCAAGCACTTGACCCAAGATTGGTGAGAAATCAATCAAAAGGAACCAAAAGAAAGAAAGAAGAAACAAAAACAGAACACCAAAACCAGCAGCATCAGCATTTCAACTCCCTTCATAGTAGTTGTACAGACTAGACCAGCCTCATACAACAGTAGGCCAACCAACACACACATCAGCAGACCTTTGAATAGTAGCATGTAGTAGGCCAAAATAACATCATACACCAGCAGCATACAGCATCAGACCTAACATCAGCATACAAGTTTACAATCTCAGAACAACAGCATATAGCAATAGGCCTCCTATGCCACACAACCTCTCACCTACTTCAAGTTTGCCACAATATCATGCACTGAGTAATTCACTCCCTTAACATTAGACTTGACCCATAGAGCAATTCTAACTTTCAATAGCTTCACCATCTCTGCAAAAGCAACATTGCCATTATTAAATAAGCAACCATTCCTAAGTTTCTATAAGGACCATAACATAGCCAAAGGGACAACCTTCCAAATATTCAACTCCTTCTTTCTAAATTTCATACTAGACCACCATTGTAACAAAACACCCACAGAACCTGGTGTTACCCATTGTACCTCCCACCAACTTACCAACTCAGACCATAATTTACATAGCATTGGACATAAAAGCATCACATGATTAATTGTTTCTACATCTGTCTTGCAAAACACACATAGGGAGCTGACATTGACAGATAAAGCTCCAATCCTATACATAAATTCTGCAGTCTTTGTTCTCCCTTTCCATGCTAACCAACTGAAAACTGAGCCCTTGGAGGTGTTGCATTTCTCCACATGAACTTTGAAATGCTAATCATGGGCCCATTAACTGACTCCAACCTTTTCCGTACTGAAGCTACAGAGAACACACCGGAATTATTAGCCATCCATGAACAAGTATCCTCAGTCATAGGATTTAGATTAGGTACCTCTGACAATAATACATTTATCCTTTGAACCTCCTCCTCCTCCTCCCAAGCTAAGAGTGGTCTTCTAAATGCCAGCTTTCAATCATTGTCCAGCCCTTTTTGTTGATAGAAAAACTAAAATGAGTCTTCCTGCTCCACTAATAAACTAAATAATTTAGGAAACTCATTCCTGAGACTTGTATTATTAAACCACCTATCCATCAAAAAATGTATCCTCTTCCAATTTCCCATGATAATCCTAAAATTTTGTGAGAAAAACTCAGTCACAACAATATTTAATGAGACTACTGATACAATATCCTTCCACACTATAGATACCATTGCATCTGGCACTGGTGCTGGTGTCCACCTGCCCCCAAGACCACCATATCTACTACAAACCACCAGTTTCCATAATCACTGATGCTCTCTACCATACCTCCACCACCATTTTAGCATTAGACACACATTAACATCGCTGAAACTTCTCACACCCAACCCCTCTTGAGCTTTACTTTTACACACATCCTTCCACTTAACTACATGAATTTTCCTTTCAATTTCAGAACCTCCCCACAAG